TTAGTGAATACATCTGGATCAACTCACCATCAACCTTGCAAAATAATGAGTCAAGTGGAACAGCCAATCTACGGCAAAAACCTTCAACAGCCTGGGGTGAAATAACAAAGAAAATGTTATGCCTGTTCAAAATTACTATTAGATAGAAAGTGAAAGCAACAAATAAGCAAAATATTCTAAAGCTTTGGTAGCAAACAGAAAGGCACAAATAGGAAACATTTATCACATGTACACCAGAAAGCTGGAGGTATATAAACCGTTGCAAGGCAAAACCATATACGTCTGAGAATAGAAATGATTAGTGTATAAACATTCCAGGCTCAAGTTACTTTTTTTAAAAAAATGAAAAGTAGTTGAGTTGTATTACTATAAGCACCAGAGGTGCAAAAAACATACACAAATTATTTACAGTTTAGTCCTCCATACCAAAAATCTTCCTAAAAAACTCAAAAAATACTAGAGGATGACCTGTAAGCAAATAATTTAGGGTACTAAGCCATCTATTCTTCAGTACATCAAAACCCTTCATGTCATCAAGCCCCTCAAATGCCTTACAATTTCTAACCTTCACACAGTCCACATAAGCGAAATGGGGATCAAATCAGCCAGGATACAGCTGTCACTGAGATGCTTCCATGCTCATACCTCTTCTTTAATAGAACCCGAGCAAAACCAGCCATCTAACTCAGAATACAGAAGTTACTGCCTTTTATACAGAAGTAGTATGGTCCCACTATCTAACTCAGAATAAAAGATCAACACCATCTTTAGGAGTTTGGCGAGGAAAGTCAGAAAAGATTGTTTTTTAGTGAGATAAAAGTGAAGTAGGAGTTGGGAGTTAATATAGTAAAAAGGGTAAGCGGAAGTTTAAAACCTGATCTTATTTGGTGAAGAAGGTAAGGTAAAGTATGGGTTCATTAACTAGAGAAAATATTCATCCATATTAAAAAAATATAGTGTTATAAATTAAAACGAAACATGGAATGAGGTATGTTTTCTCAAAAAATTAGTATGAAATAAATTATGACTCCCTTGTAACCCATCCCCCCCTCTCCTCATGGCCTGCTTAAAAAGATGGTAACTTGATAATTGAGATGTTGTAAGGATCAGAGGAAGTTTAGCGAACTCATAACTTTATCATCTTGTACTCCCTTTAAAATTAAATTGATATAAGCACTTATTTTATTCTCATTTACCCCAGAAAATAAACTATTAAGTAGAATGTAAAGTTTCTTTAAGCTTTAAAAACTTAATCAAGATAGAAATCAGGGAAAGCAAAACCTTGGTAGGATTTCCTTCGTCATCAAATGCTTTTGAAGTAGGAGGTCCCCGTACCTCAACCACATTCTCTGCTTGCTTAGCAGAGAGATCCTCAACACACATCTGAAAATATGAAACAAGCCTTAGGCCATATGGATTTTGACCAGATAAAGAACGAGGAAAAAAGACTCTCCATGACCTAATAGGTGATCTACTTCTAGTAGCAAAAAAAAATACAAGCTGTTTTAGTTGAAAGCCTTGTAATGCAATTATTCATGTAAAATCCAACTAGTACTTAAAATCCATGGGCACGAAATGAGAACCATGCAATTATAGGTATACACCATCCTACAAAATATAGACCTAGCAAGCAACACTAAGTTACTAAGATAATCAGGAATTGCAAGAGTCAGCAGACACAAAGGTCAGATACACAAATATGTATGTTATATGTGTGTATGTACATAAGAAAAAAAACAATAGTTTTCTGGAATGCAGTGCATACAAATGAAACTGCAAGGTCTTAGGTGAGAAATTGATACGCTATTTTGATTATAGATTCAATTGAACTATTTATTAAGTAGATATTTAATAGTAGATGCGAACTTGAGGTTCAAAGAGGGGTAGGTTTAGAAATTAATACACTATTTTGATTCTAGGTTTGATTGAACTATTTATTAAGTTGATATTTAATCAGTAGGAAGTATTTTGGAGGCTAGACATATATTTGCAAGAGAATTACTAAATTTTCCTTTCTTATCATATTTTATAGTCATATAATAAATATTTTAAAAAGTTATTGTTTAGTTTTTTACATAAGATCTTAGAAAAAAATACTTGAAAATAACAATGTTCAATGTGTGACAGCTTCCAAAACAGAATTAAGAGACGACAAAGTTCAAAAGATATAATTAACGTTTTTGTAAAAAAGAGAAATGTCATTCAAAGGCCACAAATGAATGCCATCGATTACACAGGAAATTACAAGCGAGAACTGAACAAAACAGCTATAAAGTACCTTAGCTTGTCTCCATCACAAAGAGGTTTTTTCTTTTTTAATGAAAACGTAAATATGATTAGACATTGAAGAACAAGGTACAAAGAGAGGGTAAACAATCCTCCAAAGCCAAGAACAGAAGCAAACAATAAAAAATAAACACATAAAATCAAAACAACAAAGCAACTCGTAGTAATTTAAGATGGTATGGAAGTTTTGGACTATGATAGTTGGCAGTTTTAACTTATCATGGGTTACTCCTTTCAAA